TGTCCTGAAATCCGCAAAATCCTAAAATCCGCACAACCTCTGGACCCAAGCTTTGAGGATTTCTGGACTTCTACTGTATAAAATATGAAAATGTTTTAGAAACTTTTAAAATAACTTAAATCATATGAGAAATTCGACAGTTTAAAAAAATACAAGAAAGAAGCTGAACTGCAGAGAAAAGAAGGAGGGCAAAAGCCAAATTTCTTTATATGAATGCAAAAAATCGGAAGTTTGTATACCCTAGAATGTTAAATAATAAAGTTTTAGCGAATACCACTAAAGAGCCAAAGATGGCACCCCAAACCAGAATTACAACCCTAAAGCGTTGCTACAACACGAGGCCTATGCTAGAACATGGATGATTTTCGGATTTTGTGGATTTCAGGACACGAAAGATAAAGCATAGTATTCGGACTAAAAGTGCAAAATGAATAAGGCGTATTAGATACATTTAATTAAATTATTATATACATTATTGCAATAATTTATTACATGCATTAAATTATTATTACATATATAAATTGATTATATTATTCATTGTATTATATGTACACAGCATCGAGGTTTGCCGATTTCGCCTCATGCAAAGATTTCCGGGTTCGGATTCTGGTGTTAGAATCACTGTTGCTGTAAAATTTCAACAGCTTTTCTTCCTTTTTCCGTATATCATACACAATCATGTCACAATTCCATACCATTCTGCTATAAATCAAGAAGTAGCACCTGCTTTCATTTTCTGCAGAATTTGCATTTTTTGCATTACAGTCAATGCAATGTGTTTATGTTTTTCAACGTTGCAAGCAGTAAAATCACGAGTGCGTTTCTTAACTGTCATTGTATTAAAAAGGGCTGAAATTAAAAATATTCTTAATTTATCCACAAAATATCTGGATAAAAAAGGGCAGCAGTAAATAATCTCATGAAATAAAACAACAAAGCTCAGAAAATACAACGTGAATCGTGAACTTGAACAAAGAGTTGAGTGAATCGTCTGCTTTTTTACCTCGATGCATATTAGAAGGAACAAAAACTTATTTATTTTATATTATTTTGTTTAACTTTTTTATATCAATAATTTGGTATTTCCATTTTGACTCATTAATATTCGGTAATTATGACGTCATTATTTGGTATTTTTTTCTTCAATATTTCGTACTCAATGTTGCGGTTTCGAAACCTATAAACTAAATGTTTATATTCTGAGAGGCAACATGGATTTCAGGAGTTGGCGGATTTCAGGTCGGCGGATTTTTGGTATTTGACTGTATCATGTTCTTCGCACTTAAAACCATTAAATTCAGCTCAAGAGCAATATCGCAAAATAGTTTTAAATTGAGCAAATCTTTAGAATTTCCAATACAGAGTCTCCACACTGAAGATACAATTTTTTTTTTTTTTTTTTTTTTTTTTTTTTTCTGTACAAGGTTGCCATTGCTCGCTTTGAAATCATTCCATTTGTTAATTAAAAATTCGTTAAAGTTTTACAAAATATGAAATCGATAATAAAACAAATTCCTAATTTGTGCTTCCACATGCCTTGTATTCGCAGTAGGATTACGTCATTCAAAATTCGATGGCTCTATGTACCATTGTTTTATCACAATGTGAGAAATATATATACATTTATGCTGATTTTTCATTATTTAAATTCTTCAAATATAATGCAGGACTCTAACATTTGGTGGCAACATTTATAGTGAACCAACACAAATTGGACTAATAATCCTATTTAAACTACTGAATAAAGTAATATTTTTCCTTATCATTGTGTCTTACTTTTGATAAGCAAGAAAATAATCAAAAATTAAATTCTTGTTAAAGCAGATTTTAAAGTTGAATAAAAAAGGTTCGTTATAGAGCAGGATTTCTTAATTCCATCCTTTATTTAAAACCTTAGGATTAAAGCCTTTTGATTTTTTTAAATATTTATTTAATTTTTAATAGATGCTTTTTAATTAATAGATATCTCAATTACAGACAGATTTTTCAATCTGAATTTCACAATTATGATTTAATTTTCTTATTCCTTTCAGATTTTGATTTAAATTTCAATCAAACTTTAAAAACAATAAAATCTTTATCAAAATTCATGGAAAATACCAAATAGCAATTTAAATTAGTTTATCTTTAGTGAAAAAGGATACTGACAAGCTGATGTTTAGTTATTGAAATATATAACTGAACTGCAAGTACAAAGTCCGAAATCCAGACGTCCATTATCCAGAATGATCTAAAATCCAGACCTCAAAACCACCAACGTTTTCTCGTAGGCTTTACGCATGTGCATTTGAATCCCCCTCCCTCCCGAACATAATAAAACATCTGGAGAGTCCTGATTCTTAATTTCACTTCAACACTAAATAAAATGCCTTGTTCCTGAAGAAACAATCATTTTAGCATAAATTTGCAGGATCAGTAATTTTGCTCCGTTGCTGCTTCGCACACATCTCAAACCGAAGCATTCCACATACATATATCATTGATCTGACGCCAACCTGGCGAATCATTTATCATACTGTCAAAAGTCTTTAATCCGGATGTCCATAATCCGGAATGATCTATAATCCGGACCTCAAAGCTACAAACTTTCTGTGCATGCGTCAATGCATAATGTGTTAACGCATGCGCATAAAACCTTTACGCATGCGCATATGCGTCTACGCATGCGCATAATACGTTTATGCGTGCGCGTTTAATGTATAACGGATAGTATAAGCTAAAATGATCTAATTATCTATTTGAGTTAATGTTGCAGATTGCGTTGTTCCTTAATCTTCTAATTGGATCCGGCTTATTATTTTTTGCAAACTGTTAGAGCAATTTTATAAAAGTAAGCTTGAACTTCCGATTAGGTCAAAAAGAATTTCTGATTCTGGAGCTGCCATAGGATCTACAAAGCGAAAGCATGTTTTGATGCCCATCAAACAAAAAGTGGAATTGCTGCAAAAAATGGATAACGGCATATCCTTTGTTTCTCTAACCATTCCAAAATCTGTTTATCAATTTCGTGCTGCTCTGTGGGAGGGGGGGATGTCACGGCGTGCATTGAACTGGAAGTTGATCTGTCAACACTATCCTTATCTTCAGGACAGGTGTTTTTATTTTATTCAGCTTATAATTCCTTACTAAATGTAGTATTTCATCTCAATGTACTCCATCTTTGATATGATTTAAATCAAATTCATCGTGATTGTAAATATCACGAATACACATCAAATAGCTTTCTGGTTGCAATTTTCTAATTTTGATTTTGCGTAATGTATGCTTTACGCATGCGCGTGTTGAAAGAAATGTTTAATAAAATAAACAAATATATATTAAGCTTTTTTTTTTATTTTGATACCTTTTAGATCATAATTGCTCTTTATTTCATAAATTACGGTTTCATATTTTTAATTTTATAATTTCTGCATGCCATCTTACCATATTTAAACTGATGATCTATAATTCGGAAAAACCGATAATCCGGAATCGTGGAAGTCCCAACGAGTCCGGATTAAAGACTTTTGACTGTACTTTCCTTTCATCACCGCATGTTTATCAAAACATGACAACTTGAGAAATGACTTATGTAGCGATGACTAAGCAATTTTTTATGTTAGTAATTGAATAATAAAGGAGTATGGTAACCTTTTATGTTGACACGATGCTTGACAATGATTACAGATTTAAGTTAAATGCACTAAAAAATGTTGACGATGAAAAATTTACCAAAAATTTATTTCCATATGCTAAAAATAGATTTTGTTGATGATACTAATAGACCCAAGATTACATTTAGGGCTATTTGAATTAAGAATAACTGATTTGTTATTGACGTAAACCCAGAACCAGCACCAGGTATTGTATGGCCACAAAATTTAGGACCCACAGAGACAGCATCAGGCGGTAATATATCTAGAGCCGACCCTTAATAAGGCTTAAGTATATGTGGAATTTATTTAGTAAGAACTCTGATAAGCCTTAAGTATGTGCAAGAAATAGACATAAGTATAATAAATAACTAAACTAATACATTTCACGCTTAATTGTCTCAGTACACGATAGAAGCAAGATAAAATTTAACAGAACTTGTCGTTAGTCGCCAAGCTCAGGATGCAAAACCAAATATGTATAGTGAATGAAAGCTAAATTTGATAATGATAGCCGCTGATTTTAAAATTTTTCGGATATCGCAAAACAAAGGTGAAACTTTCCAATTAAAGAATTTTCTAAAGAAATATGGAGAAGTGGTAATAAATAAAGATGATATAAAAGAAGTTTTTCAATGTGATGACAACGCTTCTCAATCGTCAATCAGTTAATGAATGGCAAAATCTGTAGTATGGTCCTGATGCAGAAAATACCGATAGTGAAGAAAATGACAGAAAAATTACTGAAAACAAAAAAATTTCGATTGACACGTTACTCGGAATTCTCGAAACAGCAGTTACAGGACTTTAACAATGTAACTAAACAAGAGATTATGTCTGTTTACAAAATTAAAGAGAAAGTATTAGCACAAAAAATGAAGCAACTTATACAACTTATATTGAAAGAAATGTTTAATAAAATAAAATAAATATTAAGCTCTTTTTTTTTTTTTTTTTTTTTTTTTTTTTTTTTTTTTTTTTGTAAATTTTAGATACCTTTAAGATTTTAAATACTTCATTATTTCATAAATAATCATGATTTCATATTTTTTATTTCATAATTTCTACATGCCATCTTACTAGATTTAAACTGATGATCTAATATCCGGAAAAATCCCAAATCCGGAATAGCCGAAGTCCCGACAAGTCCAGATTTCAGACTTTGTACTGTATTTGATTTAAATTTTCAGAAGAAAACTCTACCAGTCAACAACTGAATTGTTACCTGTCTATTTTAGTTACTGAAATCTAAAAAGAAATTTTCAAATTAATAATTTGCACATTACAATTTAGAATTTACAAACAGCTGTTTAAATATATAAATACATAAAAAGAAAGCTTTTATTTATCTGTAATAAACCTGTTTACCTTTTCTGCATCTGGCCCAACATCATCAGGAGGTTCAACAGGCTCATTTTCAGCTACAGCTAAGATGACCACCAGGCTCAAGATGAACAGCTTTAGTATTAATTTCATGATAAAAGAACCTTAATAAAAAAAGTTGTTTCTTAGTTAAGCTTGTTATTAATAAACAAAATGATGCAAAGCATGACATTTAGATATAAAACATGTTACATGTTTTGATTACTGTCTGACCACTAATACCAAAAAAAAAAAGGTTAGTAATCTACAATACACCTATTCAGCAGCGATGTCAACTGAAAATGTATTTATCTGAAAAGTAACCAAGGTACACAAAATATATTAAAATGACTTTTCACATTCCATGCTATATTCTCCACTCTTAACTATTTGACAATTTCCATAGTACTTGAATGCATTTAGGAAATAAAAATAATATTTTTTTAATACAGATCACAACCCTTTCTGCCTGCTGTGTTCCACAAACCGCCTGCAAATTTAATCACATTTTCTTCCCACTGTACTGTTCATGTACAATAACTAAGATTCTGCTATTTGCTTTCTTCTTGATATAACAAATTTAATGAGCAGCAGTTTTTAAATTCAAATTCAGTTTTACTTTACTGTTGCTTTCTCTTTATCTCTCGGCATGTATATAATATATACGGATATATAAACTAATAATTCATAATAATTTAGAATAAGAAAACTTTCCACGTACCACCTCCAACGAACACAAATTCAATTTAAAACCATGAAGAAAAAAAAACTTTTTTTTTAGTCAGAATTTAAACTAGTACTTTAAACATTAATTTCAATCTCCTTATTTAAAAAAAAAAAAAAACCTGCTAAGAAAAATCTTTAATTGCAAAAACACCACAACCAAAAGTAAATTTAAAGTACTGAAAAGGTAACTATTGCCATTGATCGCAGATTAATCGACTTATAAAGGGAATAAACCAATCTACCATCAATTAACAATAACTAAATTAAGAGAGTGTGTCATCTTACTTCCTAGTAAGCATCAATTTATTTGCTAGATTCAAACCATAAGTCACAATTAATACTCAATCCACGTAAAGACATTAGTCCATTTAAATCAAAAGAATCTTGTTAATTCAGTCACAAGAATCTTGTTAAACAAATTCAGTCACAAGAGTCTGGTTAAACATATTAAATCTTGTTAAACAAAAAAACAAAACAAAAAAATTTTTTTTAAACCATGAAGGAAAAAAAAATTTTTTTTTTTTCCCCCCTTCATGGTTTTAAATTGAATTTGAGTCCCTTGGAGATGATACATGGAAAGTTTTCTTTTTATAAATTATTATGAATTATTAGTTTATTACTTTGCAGCTTTAGCGCAAATCATAGGCTTTTTAATTTACTATTAATTACTTTATTTTGAATATATATATGTCACAGCCAAAGCCCGAAGTTCGGCTATTTCCCGAATTGGCCAGCCATTTTGCACATTGACCAGGGTGTGTGGCCGATGTCCGATGTACTGGAAATGAATAGCATATATGCGACTTTGGCCGCCCACTTCCCAAAGTGCCCAGAACTCCCTGGCCAACATTCGATGTGCTGAAGCAAGATTGTTCGGTAGGCAAAATTTCCACCAGCAAAAGTTGGAGATAATGTACGCATCCGCATACCAATGTTGACAGAGGAATTCTAATATGTATGCTTTTGAAACATAAAAAACGCAATTTGAATTTCATCAATCGGCCCAATAGAACAGAAGATATAGAACTGTCCCATTTTATTTTTTGTGTAGGGTACATCAACCTTCAGTGCAGTGTAACAGGACTCAATACACAGAGAAGGAGTTTACTCATTTTTAAAATTATTTCAATATAGAATTAATAAAAAGCAAATGCCTGGGAACATAAATTTATGGCAAAAGCTTATTATCTGAAATGAGAAACACTGTACAGTCAAAAGTCTTTAATCCGGACATCCATTATCCGGAATGATCTACAATCCGGACCTTAAAGCTACAAACTTTCTGCACATGCGTAAATACATAATGTGTTTACGCATGTGCATAATACATTTACACATGCTCATTAAATGTATAACGGATGGTATAAGCTAAGCTAAAATTATCTAATTATCTATTTCAGTTAATGTTGCGGATTGCTTTGTTCCTTAATCTTCGAAATTGGATCCGGCTTATTATTTTCTGCAGACTGTTAAAGCAATTTTATAAAAGTAAGCTTGAACTTTCGATTATGTCAAAAAGAATTTCCGATTCTGGAGCTGCCAAAGGATCTACAAAGCGAAAGCATGTTTCAATGTCCATCTAACAAAAAGTGGAACTGCAGCAAAAAATGGATCCTTTGTTTCTCTAACCATTCCGAAATCTGTTTATCAATTTCATGCTGCTCTGCGGAGAGTCGCGACATGCAATGAGCTAGAAGTTGATCTGTCACCACTATCCTTACCTTCAGGGCAGATGCTTTTATTTTATTCGGCATTCCGCTTATAATTCCTTACTAGTATTTCATCTCAATGTACTCCGTCTTTGATATGATTTAAATCAAATTCCTTGTCATTATAAATATCTTGAATACACATCAAATAGTTTTCTGGTTGCAATTTTCTAATTTCGACTATGCATAATGTATGCTTTACACATGCACTCGTTGAAAGAAATGTTTAATTAAGTAAACAATGAAATTTTTTATACCTTTTAGATCATAATTGCTCTTTATTTCATAAATTACGGTTTCATAGTTTTAATTTTATAATTTCTGCATGCCATCTTACCAGATTTAAACCGAGGATCTATAATATGGAAAAACCGATAATCCAGAATCGCCGAAGTCCCAACGAGTCGAGATTAAAGACTTTTGACTGTACTCTGTTTATTTATTCCTCCTTCAATATGTCACATGTAAACAGGTTGTGAATTGAAGGGCATGCTTTTGAAAAGAACTATCTCTATTCCATAACTTAAAAAAGTGAAATTCATTGTATTAAAATTTCTAAGCGCAAAATATCACATGTAAGCAAGCTGTGAATTGAAGGGATATATGCTTTTGAACTTTCTGAAAAGAACTATTCCTATCCCATAATTCAAAAAAGTAAAATGCATGACATTAAAATTTCTATGTGCAAAACAAACAACATTATCAATCAGAGAGGGAAAAACCACCAATCATTACTTCTACATGGAAGGAAGACTCCAAATGAATACCTGAAAATGATATGTATAGTTTTTAGTGTTTCTAAACTTAAATCATTGGCAATGAGAAAAATCTGTCAATGCAGAAATCAAACGCAGTCTTTAAATACATCTGCAACAATCAAAATAAAACAGTAAACCAAGATATGCTCTGTGTTTAGTACCTCTTATTCACTGTCACCCTTGGTATCACTTGAGTATTTACTCACAGTCACTCTTGGTATCACTTGAATATTCAATCACTGTCACTCTTGGTATCACTTGAGTTTTTATCACTACTGCTGCTACTAAAGGCCGGATTAAAATTTTTAGCAACCAAAAGAACTTGAAAGATTTTGGTGCCCTCACATATAAATTTATGTCTGTTTTTTCCCCATTCTTTCTCTTTCAGCCTTGGGTTTACCTGCACCATATATTGAGAGGTTTTTTGTGGTGCTCCTTTTCCAGCATTCTTAAGAATCTTTCTGTAATGCCTCTTTGACTTCATGCTTATATTGCTTAATGGTTAATCCAGCTTGGCTGATACCAGTATCCCACAACATATCCCCAGAGTCATTTAGAACAGTGAACATTTCACACTTCAAAAATCATTTAATGATAGTTTTAGGCTTGACAATTTCCTAAGTTGTCAGAATCTATGAACACACATGTTGCACACTAAGACATTTGGTTCTTCCTTTTGGTACTTTAGGTCAAGGTTTTCTATACTTATCCAATTATCATCAAATCTCTAGCATAAACTTTTAAAGGAGCAATTAACAGTAACATCAAGCACCTGGAGTATGGTAGTCAGGCCTCCTTGAACCCCATCATTTTTTAACTCATTTCATTTTTCCTTCATTCGAGAAGTTATGTGACATCAGAAGCTGTCCCAAACTAACAAGATCTTGCGTTTCAGCAAGCCATCGAATCTTTTATTCCAAACTGATTTTATACAGTCCAATATGAGAGATTTTTCTTGCATGTAGTCCTTTTCCTGTGCATGCACAAAAATACCTGGCAGTATGTCTTTGGGTGCAGTCTTTCACTTACACAATGTATGGTGGCATTTTTATTCCGTAAGCCGGAACAGCCAGCATAACTGTACATCGCTGCTTTTCAACACCTGCTGCCTTGATTCTTACTACATATGAGCCTCTTGGTGCATCTTTACTAGTCAGGAGCATATTGTAGTAAATGGGTATTTGATCTGCATTACAGATTTCAAACAATGTATACCCATTAGCTTGCTACATATGAAAATATGAAAAATGTATCCTCAAAATTTCATTACCCAAAGTCTGCCAGAAGATGTTTTATAACTGTTTCCTACAATGTAGTGACAAACCATTTCTATGCATAAAATATCCACACTATCTTACACTTGCTCTAAAGTCATGGCTTATCTCCACTCAACCAGCTTTTCACAAACTTGGAAGCATACTGTTACACGTTTTTCTTTACGTACGGGTTCGTGAATTTGGAGTGAATAAAAATGACACTTGATGAAGTATCAAAACAAATTTATTGGCCAGTATTATTCAAGACAGCTCCAAAATCACATTTACAGTCGTCGAAGAACAATTAAAACATGCTGAATCAATCAGTGACACAGTCTTCACACTATCAGGCTATAACACTAGAGACAGCTTTACGGCAAAGCACCAGAGTACAGCTCCCGACTCTGCTTGGTCGTTCTCGGAACTCCACGTACTCTCAAGACTCTCCACACTACAACTCGCGATGCACTCGACGATACACTAGAGTACAACTCACAACTCATCAGTTCCCAGAGTTCAACACACTCAAAGATTAAACTCGACGATGTACTAACTCGCGATACACTAAGAGACTCTCTCGATGCATTCAATGACCAACTTGGCACTGGACTCCGTATGGACTCTTAGCTGACTCGACACTAACTCTCCACATACCGGCATGGTTGATATAGCTTTT